CAGTAGGATCTGCGATTTTGTACTGAACCACGACAACGGTAATTTACAGCTCTGTGGTCAATTTCTACTTAGGCTAGAACGCTATGTAGCCGCTCCACGAGAGCTGTGTTGAAAGTTGGTGCTAAGTAAGAACTCATTATCCACGCAGAAATGAAGTACTCGTTTACCGTTGTCGGTTCACTGGGCGGGAAGAGCGAATGGTCCAATTGGACAAACTTCGATGTGCTCAGTTTTCCAACGTGCACGATTAAATCACCTGGTAACACTATAATATCACAGTTGCGGCTCAGCCAAATAAATTAGGCTAGTTCGTCTTCAAATTCATCCATTTATGAACTAGGCCTGCAGTTGGTTGGCGCATATGCAGAAATGATAAACAAACACCTTTTGGTGTTGCTGCCCTTCCGAACACTAACTTAACACTGGAGCCTCGTTGCGCGCCGACAAGTACTCACGGGTGTCCAATCCATCAGTGAAGCTTCAGCCTATTTATGTGGTACGATTCAGTGAACGGCCTTCATCATCTGCTGATATACGAAGGAAATGCCTTCACGACTGACCTATCTCACTCAGGTGGCTTATGATACTAGGATCACGAATTCGTGTCTCCGATACGCGAGAGACATCAAATTCTAAAGATGCGAGACACTCCTGTTGACCCATCTGCATCAGCGTCCTAACTTTGAAGGCTCCCAGATTCAGCGATTGACGAGTGTTCAGATTCTGCAATCTATTTTATGACAAACTACTTCCGCGCTACTTGGCAATGAAATTTAGTTAATGAAGCAGTAGTAGTAGAAAGGAATGTTATGGGTTGGAAGAAAGGGTGAAGGTTGGGTACGGAAGACAGAGTGCGGTAAAACACTTATCACTACCCACTCCGCTTTATGCAACGGGCAGCACGGCCCAGATTATCCTGCGCGACGACTGATTCAGTATAGAACATTTTTTTAATTTGTATGGGGTTTTATGAACGGGTACTGCCATGGAGTCCAACCACAAAGCAGGAGAATGACTAGGGTTCTCAACCAAAGCCTTTAGTTCTGACAAGAACTTAGTCGCAAGGCATCGTTTAAGGCGAATTGCAGGTCCAGTAACTAAGACCAATGACTACTCCAACTAATTTCACCGATCGAGACGCCTACTCTATTCAAATCCCTAACCTAGAGGATCAGTAGAATGGATTCCGTCTGACCTCTGCGCTTGACTTTCCAGGCGTGATTAAATCTTCGGCTCAACAAAAGCCATCCTTTTTGGCTCTTTAAGTTACAGAGATGCACAAACCATCACACCACGTCAGTGCGCATTCTCATCGCGATGGAGCAGTCTCATCATCGCTCTGCATTCACTCTAATCGTGGACGTCCTTTGTCTGGAGAATTTCAGTCACTCTTGCTGAGTAAGGTATTGTAACGTGTAGAAATAAACGAAATAGTTATTATCATTTTTTTATTTCCGTTTACTTGACATACAACGATATAATTTTCGTGATACACCCGTTAAAGAGGTTGCCGTACAACAGAAGGAGTAAGCCTGATATTGGTGCTTCCATTCGAACACGACCTCCGGAGCGATAATCTGGTGACCTTTACCAATCGACCATTCATGTTTTTAGAGAAAACAAAACCGTAATTACGGGTAATACATACGTTCCCGCGTTTGAATTGTGTTAGTTTATTATTCGAAGAATTCAGTCCAAACAGTTTTTAATGTACTTTTCGTTTCTCTCTTTCGTCTTCTTAGTGGCCCATTCAAAACTTCTGCAGAACGATCTCGAATAAATGTGGAAAAGCTTAAAAAAATTTAAGGACGTTAATCGCATTCAGTTACCACAAGTTGGATGAGCCTGGTGAACTGTGAGCAAGTGTACGCTTCTGTTTATTTCACTTAGTGTTTAGTCGCGTACCAGTATTCGTCCGGCTTTATATGTTCAAGGTGAAGGGTAAAGCTAATCACATTTGTAAATGTCGACTAAGCTTACCGCGAAAATCCATGATTTGAAGTTAACCGTAATTGATTGCTGCTCCTACTTAAGCATTTGCCTGACGAGTTACCGTAATGCGTTGAGGGGAGGTATCCGGCCTATTTATGCCACTCTAGCGTTATTCGTTGATCTGAGCTACCTTTGAGTTGGAGGTCGCATTTCATTCAAGTTGGTTGCGTATACTGTGTCATGGTACGATCAGTTGTGCTTTAAAGTTTTCTTGCGAAAGACATCAGTTGACTAGAGGAACTGCGTCGCATGTAGGTTAGAGCAAGCGATTAAGTTTTCGTCTATTCCGGAATTTTTCAGTGGAACATCCGTTATTTCCTTAAAACCGGGAGCGTAGTCTTCGCTGATTGCTTATTTCCAACTCTCGTCTAATGCACGCTCCTGGTTGTTATTCCAGCTTGAAGACAATTACCCAGAGGTTAACAAACGGCTTAGAAACAAGGCATGTGGAACTGCACAGATACTAGGTTTCACTCGTCTTCCATTCTGGAATCGAAGGAGCTCTGCAATCGGTAGATTGGAGGCACTGAACGACATGGTAGCGAACCGACAATAGGCACATTCTTGTCATTTCTTACCAAACCAGAAACTGTACTGTAGCATGCTGGTTTTAGCCCACCGCTGCCAGCAGTTTGTGATATACGACCGGAGGTCAAGTCCGGGTAACACGATCCCAGTTTCTGATACCAATAACCTCGTCATAGAATTTCGTAATAATAGCTCTTTGAGCGATCTTAAAAGCATAAATATTCCCATAATAGCATTGAGAAAACGACTCAGTGAGCGAACAATTGTTTTCGGATATTCCTAGTCATGCTCTTACATATCATATAGTGGAAAAAATTCTAACATAATCGTAGCCATTGGCTCATTTTATAGTCAATATTCGGAGGTAGAGAGTAATGGGAGTGTGTATGTGTTTGCTTGCATATATGTGTGTGTGTGTGTGTGTGTGTGTGTGTGTGTGTAGGAATGTTTAACGTGTTAGTT